ACACACACACACACACACACACACGCACACACAAACAAATCACTGCAAGCTAGCTGCTCTTTAAGACTGTACTTAGGCATGTAGTTGGCTTTGAGCCAAATGCTAACATCTCCATGCTAACATAGTTAAAAGAACATTTTAAGATGCTGATATAGAGCTTTAGGTTACATTTAGCTCTGCCATCATAGTTTAGCCTCTGCCCCCACATCATACATGCTAGCATTTGCTAATTACCAAAAATGTATTGCAATAAAATATATTCTGAACTGATGCTGGCTCCTAATGAAAGACAGGTGGTCCCCATAGTAACTGACTTTACCACCGGCTTGCGCTGCAGGGTAGCTGCTCTGTAAGACTGTACTTAGACATGTTGTTGACTTTGAGCGAAATGCTAATCTCACCATGCTAACATGTTTACTGTAGGCCTACAAGGCAATTTTAAGATGCTGATATTTAGCTTCAAGTAACATTTACCATGTTCACCATCAAAGCTGACTCTCTACCACCATGTAAGTATGCTAACATTTGCTCAATTAGAAAAAAAGAAATGCTAAATTAAACTTTCATTTAGCATTTAAAACCTTTAGCGTTTACCTGTCTTTCATTAGGGTTACACTGGTAAACGCCAAAGGTTTGTGATGTGGATGTGTACTAAAATTCATGGGAATCCGCCAAATAGTAGTTAAGATATGTCACTGTAAACCACACATGGGAATGTCATGGTGGCTTGAGAGGGGGATCACAACATATTAGGGTCCATCCTCTGGGGAAGTAGAAAATGTTGCGCCAGTTAATGCCAATATATTTTACTGTAAAAACTCTGACCTAATGTTGGCACCATATCAGTCAGATCACCAATGGCATTAGGTTTCATCCTCTGAGAACCTGAATGCCTGTAGAAAGACATCCAACTGCTCTTCGGACCAAAGAGGGAGAACGTGAAAATTGAGCGGGGCTATAAATCATGGGGTGTTTTTTGTTCCACATTTATTTATCCCTGTATCTTCAGTACATAACTTCTATCCTGAAATGGTCCTCCCTTCTGTGGCTGGGTTACCTCAGTCAGCCTCTCTCCCTCCAGCTATTTGTTGTGTACAAAATAACTCCCACTACACTGCCTCACCTCCTCCAACACTGACCTCAATATCACTTTATTTTTCACTCACACAAACTGACACCAAAACAGAAGAGCAAACACGCCTAGGCACGCACATACATCTTTAGTAGGTATACTGTATAGGAGAGCAAAGCAGGGGGAGAGAGCAGACGCAGGGATGATGAATGACTGCTTCCATCAGGGCTGCGTGGAAAGTGTCAAACACGCCTCCTCAGATCGTAAAAATGGATGCTCACTGAATAGAAGCGTTTTTATGACCTGAGAGGAGTGGGAGATGTCTGAGTCGTGCAGAGCTCAGGATGGAGCCGGAGGAATGCCAGAGTGAGGCGCTCGGATTGCGTCACGTTTATTCTTTAAAAGGAGGATAAAGGTGGTTATCTGAGGGCAGGAAAAATGGAGGCAGTAAAGTTTATAGGTTTACTTGAAGCTCCGCTGGTCGTTTTGAGCTGATTTACAGCACTCAAAACTCGACTCAGGTTAACTGTGCTGTTAGTTTACATCTATACAGCATGATTGTCTTTGTCATGTTTCCAATTCTGAAAAACATTCTTATTTTGGCTTACTCGCTCAACAAGTAGTATGGGACATTTCTATAGGGTGCAGGAATGAGTCTTAAACTTGTAAAAGAGTTAGCATTCAAGCACTTACTTTCATCCAAAAGTCAATGGGTTTTTTGTATTTGTTTTTGGCTAGATAGACGCTTTGTTCTACATGATAAAATATGTCAGTAAACACCCCACTGGCTTAAACGTCTGAAGCTTTGATGTGTTTCACAATGGCTAACAACTGGCTAAATGACAATACCAACCGCCATCCCGCCAAAAACGAGTGTGCCTTTAGCTTAGAGGTGTTGACGTTCAGATAGCATGTAGTTTGAATAGAGGATTACATTTACTATTTACTTCTGGAAATTGCATTCACGCTTCAACTATTATTAAAGTGGTGGGGATTATCCTGCTGAACAAAACGTGTTAGTATCATAAACGCGTTTGCCACAGAGATTATTTTCTGCAATATTGCAAATTCCATCGTGAAAATATCATGGGAAACCTTGTGATGCTAACTTCCGGGGGCAGCATACCTGAATACATCATCAATGCACCACTCTAAACTCCACACATTTACTGCAAGTATGCAGGCCATCTCTTGCATCCTTAAACCTAAACATGGTCTAAGGAGAGGCCTTTACACCAAGTATGGCAAGTCTACTCCTTAGTAGTGTGATTAGGTTCAAATTCAAATTAAGTCAAAGATGTTTTGAAAGGAGACATGCCACAAAATTCATATTATTTTGGTGACACTAAGCTGAAATCCTTTCCGGAGTGAACACAGAAGCACACCAGACGACTTCAAATCATTTCTTAACATCAGTGTGTCAGGCTTTGTGCCGGTGTAGCACACAGGCTCACATAAACTCATTACCAGCCTTCCTCTGTTTACACAGCGAGTCAAGTGTCTTGCTGCTGTCCCATCTGCTGGTGCTAAAAAACACACCACACGCACACATTAACAGGGACACACACTTCTCTATAAATTCAGTTGACATAAATGAAAGAGCAAGCTTGGAAACATGCAAAAAAACACCTCTCACATCATCCGATACGCATTGGGATGAACTGGAAAAGCCTTGAATAATAATGTGAATGCATGTTTGTCCAGCATAGGTTTACAGATACTGTAATGAAACATGCAGGTGGGCATATGGTGCGTGGGACTCTGTTTGTATGGAAACACTGAGGCAACCAAGCTTATCCGGTGACCCAGGGATAGTGAACGCAACACCCCTGTCTGTGATCTGCCCTTGCATTGTGGCAGATCAGATGACTGGATGCCGGGAATTAATCGCTTCTCATTTTCAGACAAAGACAGACAGTCTCGTCATGGTTTGGAAAAGCTGACGGAGTGTGCAAGAGTGAGAATACACTGTTTAGGCCTAATCTGCTCATTAAATGCCTGGGATTAATTAAGAATCATGTTTTCTGCTGATGTCGCTCATTATTAAGTCTCTCTCCGACGTCTGCAAAAATCACAACAGCTGTATCATCATGCATATTCTGCCTTCATTACTGCAGACTGTGGTGCAGATCCATGTGTATGGTAATGACCGTGCACGATGAATTGGCAGCCACTTGTCATTGGAACAGTGAGCAGGTGGTTTCAGGACAGGGGATCAGTCTCTGCTGCCATCTGCTGCTCAGAGACACAAACTGCCCGTCAAAAGTGGGCTGGAAGTTATTACATCTGAAATAAGTAAACGTTAGGGTTTTTATGTTTAAAAATAAATAAATAGCCTAGTTTTAAAAGACATGGATAAGCCACTTAAACTGGATTATTGTTGTCTTGTGTCTTTAGAAAAATGAATTGGGACATGTCCGATTAAAAGAAGTGCTACATCAATTGCACTTACATAAAACCAGTCAACAATGACAGACAGATATTTAAGAAAATTGTCAAAATAAAAGCAACAGAATGTTAAGAAATCTGGAATTTCTGGTATTTGTCAAGCTTAAGAATTGATACTTATGCCTATAATGCAACCAGCATTACATTAAACCATTCGTGGACTACTTTTTGGCATCTTGATAGCCGCCATTTTGTTTGTTGGGGAAACCAGAAGTGACACAGGGTGGAACTATAAGTACAACTAAACGATGAACAAGACATTTTTAGGAGACCAACATGTTATAATTAACTTCCCTGAACTGAAACAAACTGGGAAAGGGTCAAAGTTGAAAACAAAAACGCAAAGAGCACCCAAACCTGACAACTCTAAATCTGTAGTGACATGCCAATCACAAGGTAACCCCACCCTATGACAAACACATTGTTTATTTAATCCTAAATAAACCATATATATAACTGTATTGAAGAGTTGAAACTAGCAATTGAGACCATTACCTTAATAGGAAAATGTTAGCTTAGAATCAAGTGAGAAGTAGGGTGATTATTTCGTAGACTTCTATACAATCTGTGTTGTCCTTAAGGCTACATCTCTTATCAATCATTTTAAAATGAGAAGTGTTGATTTTACAGAGAGTAAGGTACAGAAACATTGTTTTTTCCCCCCCAGAAAATTCATAGGCTAAGCTATAGGCTAACAATGTTTCTTTATGTTTCTTAACAGATAGTAAAGTGATTCAAATGTTCTCAAACGATCTGCAATAAAAGCAGCAGTGCAATTCCCTAAACCTCTAAATATTTATTCGGAAAAGTGTTACTAAGCCGAACAGAAGGGTTAGGGTTCTTTGGGGAAATGCACGTTGCTCTTATTTCATAACATCTAAATGTATTTGCAGGATGCCTCATAAATGTGAATTTAAATAAAACAGTACCTCGTGTAAAGTCAATTTTATTTATTCCGATTCATAGAAGCATTTTTTAGAAAATATACTAATTTTCAGGCCTGAAAAATCTGATTCAAACACTGACTTAAATACTCTTGAAGAGATGGGAGTGCTAAGTGCATGAAACACACATTTCTCAATCATCATCACCAAAAAGCATACTCACAAACAGTTATCAAATGACATATTATCACAAATAAAAACATGATTGGTTACCACAATGGTTAGTGCAGTTTTTAGATTCATTATTTACACCTTCACTAGAATCAAGACAGTACAAACTCACTCTTAGTAGTCACAGATTGTCAGTAAAAGACAGGGAACGAGGGATGAGACGACGGTATTCTCAATATTTTTGCACAAATGCATAAAATAGTTCATGATGACTGGAGAGACGGATTATGTGCTTTATGTACTACGGGTTTAGAGCGTCCTTAATGCCTGAGAAAATAGCAAGTGCAACCAGTTAAAAACAGAAAGCATACCAGTGCATGCATTTTCAGCAACAAATGTTTACATGGGTTAAAATGGAGGGGGGGGGGGGGGGGGGGGGGAGCAGCTGTTGGAGCTTTGTCTCTTGAGTCCACACGGTTTTTTAAAAGCTTGTCTCTCTCCAGTCCTCGTTGTTCCAGTCCCTCCCCAGAAAGCTCTTCCTGGTGCTCTGGTAACGTCATAACGCGTCTCTGTTGCCCAGCTGGGGGCTCTCATAACCTAAAACAAGCAGAAACAGTGTCAATGCTGGACTGTGCAGTTCAAATGTCCTCCTTGGAAATGAGTTTGTGATTATGTGTAAAGGGAAGGGTTGCACTAATGGAGACATACTTAAGGAAAACGATTATAGGGTATTGACAGATGTGCCGATATCTTCCAATTCATTTTGGCCAATTGCCAATATACAAACCTTTTTTTAATCCACCTAATTGCAGATAACGTCAAGTCTCTCATCTATTGGCATGATCACATTATTATACATATGCTTAGCTATTACATTGGACTCCCAGATCATATTAAAATTCAATAAAATATTGACTTACTTAAATCATGGAGAAAATGGAGCCCATTATGTGGCTATACAATCCATACAATTCAAAAGAAAATCCCATTGGTGCATTTCACATGTATTAATTATTAAGTTTGACCCTCTTAAGGAACCAGAAAGAACCAGAAATGAAAAGCAGAACCGCAATCTGAACTGGAATCGTTAAAACACAAACGATTCCCAACTGTAAGTATTACACAGTTATACTTTTAATAATTCCACTGTGAAGGTGATTTGTCACTTTATTATTCATTTTGTTGAATGAGAAGTTGCAGTTTTATGAATTACAATGTTTAAAATCCATTCCAGTGGAGTTTGGATGCTAAAGATGTGTACGTGTAAAATCACATTGTTGCATTTCACATGTATTCATTATTAAGTGCACAAACTTAAGCACTTTTAGTCTTCAGATTAAAGGTTTCTATCCTTTTAAATCCAATGAAGGTGGGGGACAAGCTCATATACAAAGAGATGTTTTTTGATGATCTTGTATTTTATGGAATACACAGTGAACAGTGAAGACACACCTGTTGCTCCCACTTAGAAACCTTCCACTGCCTATGCACTTCATTCAAGTGTAATTTGATCAACCAGTCATATCGGCAAACATGTAAATAACGCACTTTGTGACGTTGTTTTGAAAAGTGCTGTATAAATAAAGTTATTAATATTATTAAAAATGCAGATTTCATGGTGAATCCACATCAAATAATGATTACCTAGATCTGCAGAGCTAAAAGGATAGTGCTTATTGAACTAACATGAATCAGTTCAAAACCACGCTAATGTCTGCATTATGTTTCAATAGGCAACTAAATGTGATTCACTATAGAAACTGTAAGAGGTTGTTTCTGTTGCAGGTTTATAGCTGCACTAATATAATAATATATGTACTAGTGTCTGTATCCCTGTTTTCTTTTTTTGTCACACAAGTCAGCTACTGTATCTACAACCTTCTTTAAAACATATCAGACCGATTTATCTTTACAATAAACCATCTGTACTCTACTCTCTGTAAACCAAACACCAGACAGACAGAGTAAGCGTCTAGTTAGTGAGCGCAATGGAGTGCTAAATGCTTAAAGGAGAATAACATTGGATTTAAATTCACCAGATTGGCTGCAAACACGACTCTAAACGACTGCTAATGATGTTCTGTGTGTACTCTTCACAGACTTCCAGTATTCAGATATCACACTGTACTGGAAACACAAATGTGACAATTTGGCTGCTGCTGGCTATTAAAGTAAAGTAAAAGATGTAATAAATAAATAAATAAATAAATTAGATTAATTGATTTATTAATTTAAAAAAGTGTTGTTAATTGTAGCTAAGTAAAAAAAACATATTCTTAAGAAAACTCAAATTAATGGGTTGTCTGTACATTTTTTAGTTTTTTAGTCAACATATATCAGCAAAGTTCTGTCAACCTTTATCTTTCTGAAAAACTGAAACTACAAAAAAAGATATCCTTTAAACAAATTAACTTATATTTGTTGTCTTAAATAAATGAACGTAAATTCATTTTAGGTTCTTTTTTGTCATCATATCACTAGCTAAAAAAGGAACAATTAATAATAAATTAATACAATTTTAATAATCGTAAATTAATTTCTGGTTTCGTATTTTTGTCATGTGACATTTTTTAAGATATCTGACCAAAAGGGATTTTTCTTTTTGGAGTTCTGACTTTAAATACAGAATTCAGAGATTAAAGTCATAACAAAAACACAAAAAAAACATTGACTTGTGGCCCTAATCCTCAACATCTATTCCATCTAACTAAATAATAAGTAACCGAAAATTAAAACTATTATAACCAAGCCTACCCACAGCAGGCACACTTCCTGTACTGTATAAGCGGCTGTTTTCCCCGTCGTCTGTGACTTATCATCATCATCCTCACAGTGATGCTAATTGAGCCTCACGCAGCAGCTTCTTGACAAACAGCTGTGTATGACGGAGAGGATTGGCAGCGGTGTTGCTGTGTCATTAGAGCTCCTAGAATTCCTCCGCCACAGGATTTTCATCTCCAACGGAAAAACGTCTCAGTGTCAAAATCGACAACGAGTCAGCTAAACATGGCTGCCAATTATCTCCATAATAAGACGTGGTATCAGAAAGGAATCAGCTCGAATTAAAGCAGGAGTGATAAAAGGTTCTTTATTTGAAATATGGCGAGGTTCCCGACTAATAGCACTCTCATCCAGGCAGTGTCGGAGCGGCTGCCAGCTGCAGGGAGACGTGCTGGAGAACAGCCAAATAACAGCTTTAAAGGATGTTTTGTGATCTCTTTCTTTGGAGCCATTCATAAAAATAGCGGAACAAGGATGCATTCAATATGTTCGGTATGACTCATCCATGTACGGTGCTATGAGAAAGTCTACAAGGATTTTAGTTTGTGCAAAATTTGGTGACAAAATAGGGTTGTTCACAGATGTTCTGCTTTTAGGGGGCCTACTACGCTCATCTTCAGGTTTATAGTTGTATTCTGTGTCTCTACTGGGACGTGTCTCCGTGCTTTAATGTTCAGAAAGCTCTCTATTTGCCTCATACTGCTGCCTGTGCTGCAGCACCTCTTTTCACCCTCTGTCTGAAACCAGAGCCCAGTCTGCTCTGATTGGTTAGCTGGTCTGTTGTGATTGGTCCAATGGACAAAGATGTCCTGCCACTTAGCCTATCACATACTATGTGTTGGAGCGCTAGCCAATAGAAACGCAAGTGTTACATAAAGATGTCACTATGTCACAGAAGGGAAGACGTGTTCCGTGTCAGTATATGACGTCATTGGGCTCAAAATAACTTTTCCCATTGACTTACATTGGGAAAGAGAGGTCTGAAAATCAGCAGATACTTATTTTTAAACTAACCCAACCACCAACACTTTTCTAACCCTTATTCATTATCCTCAAATCATTAGGGTCTTAAAGTTGTAAAATGCGCTAAAAGCCAAATCCAGAGTTTTTTCCTCTCCTTTCATTTGACTGAACCGAGAGCAGGACATCGGAGGCGGGGCTTAACCCTAAACCCAGGTAATATTGCTCTGGAGAGGCCACTGAGCAACTTTGATATGAATGAAAGTGTCATGCCTCCAACGCTGTATCCAGTTCTCTTGGAGAGAAACTCCCTCTGAAGAGAACTTTGGGATTTTAGCCTGTGCAGACCAATTGCATGCACAAAAGCCTACATAACACACTGACTACAGGATAGGGAAAACCCCAAAAAGCATAATAGGACCCCTTTAACTTGTAGTCAAATTAAAACGGTGCCAGATCACATGCCACATGGCCGTCATTCCGCACATTCAGGAAGTGAAACAGATACATACACCTGGTCCCCGCTGGGAAGTCCAGAGAGCTGTTTCTGTACTGGGGGAAACTGGGCTTTTTCACAGGGAATCTGCGATCTGAGGACCTCTCCAGATCGTAGGGGCTGTCCGGGTCCATGCCTGAAGGGAAATGGCATGAGACACACAGACAGAGTGGGATGTGGGAACAGGGGAACAAAAAGGGGGGAGGGGGGGTTGCAGGATAAAGCGGGCAGGAAGATCTATCAGGCATGGGAGGACATCAAAATCCCGCTGCTTTCATTTGATATAATGATAACAAGGCAGTGGGCCATTGTTATGAATGATGGAGAAAACAGCAAGATGTCAATTTGTCTCATTCATGCATGTGTAGAGCCAAACAGCATGCATGTTGAGTTTATCGTAACAAGCACACAGAGAAAGAAGTACGGTACCTATGTCGAACGAGTTGGACTTCCTGGTGTGACGCGATGCTGCGGGGAATCCATTACGGCCTTCATCTTCATCTGGTTGGTGGAAGAGTAACAACAAACATCATCTGTATTTATTCTGTCCATAATGGCCGTCTGACATCATCATCAACATACAGCATTCAGTAGTCTCCTTAAATCTACCAGGTTAAACAGAAACATTCTAAAAAGGTTGCTCAATTCTGACATTTGTCAATAGAAAATCAAGGATTGCGTATTATATATGAGGCACACCAAATGTAACAAATATGCCAATAATGGGATAAATATTATGATCTAAATTAAAGTCATTAAATGATTGCCCGCTAATACAAAGAAAGGAATCTAAAAATAGATACTGTTTTAAAGTTGGTTTGTTATCCGCCCAATAAACAGTGAAGAAGAAGAACAAGAAGAGGGAGAGGAAACAG